TCCCCTCCTGGGCAAGGTCACCCAGGTGGAATCCGTATCAGAAGGATACTGGCTCCCTCCCTCGCTTCTAGGCAAGGACAATTAGCTCAGAAGGAGCCAAACTGTCTGGAACAAACAAGTAGGCCCCCCACCCCACGTCCCTAACCATAAACAGCTCAGCCAATAGCCCCTCCCCCTCAATGGTGTCCTGCTTTACCAATGTTAAAATCTGGTCACCTTACCTTAGGGGTGACTTTTGGGATCTGTTGTAGTATGCCTACAGAAGATTCAACCATAGTCCTATCTCCAAAAAATACAATACTCATTAAATAAAAAAGTATAGTCATCCATTCTGAGAAAAACTGGACAGGACAATGAAGAGAGAACTGAAGTAAGAGTAACTAAAGGGACACTGGGTTATTTTTATTGGGTCAATGTAGAAACTGGCACAACCTATTCATCCATGCACCTTGGAGTTTCAGGCTCGCATAGTGTGGCTCTCTGTTCGACTTTTGTGTTGTCTTTTAAATAGATTCACAGGGAAACAGGCTCGAGAACGTCTTACCAAAACCTCAAACATACTTGCTGTTTCTTGCTCATTCAGTAATTTCTTGTTCCGTAATGTTAAAAAATAAATGCTAAAATTAATTGTCATACAAAAAAAAAGTACCTAGATAGAAACAAAAATTTGAATTAAAAAATGAATAAAAGATTTTCTTCCTGAAAGTTTAGGCCAAAACATGGGTGTAAATTATACACAGGTGTATATTATATGGGGCAAAATATAGGAGTAATTTTTAAACGTAAGATACAAGTTTTCGAAATGAACCCAAAAGAATCAGCAAAAATACTTTGAGAATCAGTAATAGCAGCGAGATGCCTGTATGTAAAGGAAAGACATAAACATCAAATTTTCTTCACTATGTCAGCATTCGCCAATTATTAGAAAATATAGTGGTGGAGGGAAACTGTCAAATCTAAAGGGATGTTACGGTTAATGTCCTCTGTTTTATAGTTTATAGATGTGCACACACAGGGTGGCCATGAATTTCATGTGCAATTTAAAACAGACAACTATTTTCTATTTTTCATATGTGTATACAAATATATACACATTACACATATAGCTATGTGAAAATACCACAGGAATAAATAAGGTTTTTCCTAAGAACCCAGAAAGAATCACACATGTGTATATATGTATATATGGCATATTAATATATATAAACATGATATTGGAATTTTGCAGTTTTTGAAGTTTTAGGATAACTCTTATTTGGTCCTATGGCATTATTTTCACATATAATTTTGTTTGCTAAATTTTTTTAGATTTTTGCATTGTAGATTTTATGCGTATCTTTTTGGTTAGGTTTTAGTGTTAAGGTTGTATAAGTTACCTAAACAAGTAGGGACTCTTTATATGGTCATGCATTTATGCAGCTAAGGGCAGGGTGGTGCAGGTGACCATGGAGTAAGATACTGTGCTTTCAGTCCTGGGTCTGTTTCCACTGCCATGTATGCAGGTCACATCATTCCTACAAGCTTTCCTCCTCACCTCATCTGCAAAATGGGCATAGCTGTAGTACCCACACTAGAGGTGGGTGAAAGTGGGGGGGGGCAGGGAGGAATGGCACCTTCTGTGGACTGGCTCAGCCTCGCCACACTCTCCAGCCCCTTGCCTCTGCCATAGTGGTCCCCCTTCCCTGAACCCCTGGGATCTGGGGCCTGGTTACCGGACTCTTCTCTCACCTTAGTCTGCTTCGTGTTCCTTGGTTCCCAATTCCACACAGGTTTCTTCAATTGTAGGGCCTTGTGTATAGGAACAGATAAGGGAGGAGGTAGAATATTGAAATGGAAATTATGAATGATAAAACTACTGAAAAGGAGGCCTTTTTAATCTTATGCTTTCTTGAATTCCATTAGGGTTTAGCTTAACCAATGCAATTGCCTGGTTTTTTAGCACACAAGCCCAGAAAAGGTGACCGGTCCAGACTTGTGGGCTTGCTGGGCCTTCCTCAGGAAGACCATCCTTGTTTTTTCCATTCAGGGCCTGGAATTCCTGAGTGACTGCCCTATATACTCGCTGCAGGACCAGACAATTCTGGTGGGAAAACAAGCCTTACTTAAATGGCAACTTTGCAGTTGTTTGAAGATACAAGTAGGGGCTGTCACTGAATACTGCCTGAAATTCTCCAGAACTTAGGTGTTCTGAAATATCTTCCCTGGCCATCCCATGCTTTATCGCTCACTGGGCACCTTGAGCACATGCTTTGTCTGCCCTTTGACATTTACCAGTGACTTATAACTGCTACTGATGTGAATTACAGAGAATCCTTGAGGTTGGAGGACTATGATTTACTGTTTCTAATGACTGGAGTCAGGCCACCATCAGAGTTTCACCGGTTTCTGCTCCCAGCGGTTGCCCCCTTGCCCCGTAGAACACCTTTCATGGCAGGTCAAACAAAAGGCTGTCTATAACTCAATTCAATGGACTTACCTGGAACTTTGTCCCTAGTACGACCACAGAGTTGAAGGGCTGTTAATGTCAGGACTTGTGAGAATGAAAGATTTTCTGTGAAGAATAAAGTTTTGCAGAAATCTTTGTTTATAAGGGATCTCAAGCTTGTCTTCTGTAGGCGCTGTGTGTGTGTTGTAAGCTTCTTGACAGCAGGGCCTTGCACACAGAAAATTTAAAACCAACAATGGACAAACAAGGTAAGTTGGAGGGCTCACTGTCATTTGAAGGGATGCTGGATGCAGATTCTCTGCCTGCAGGCAGCCGCCTGGCTGGAGGCTACTGCATATTTTCCCAAGACTATGCAACTGGTTTTCCTTTTTTTTCTTTAAAAGAATCAAGAAAACCTGTTGTTTAAACCACACTTCCCCTTCTCATATGGGGTCAAGAATAAAAAAATATAATTGATGCACTTGTTAACTGTGAATTTAGAATCTCCATATTAACGGCGTGCCAGGGTGAGAGTATGTGTTCGCGTCTCTCCAGCACATCCACAAAACCAGGAGGCAGGAAAGCACCACCAGGTTCTGTTATTAATTCCACCAGAGTGGGAAGAGGTGAGGATGGGGAGGAACAGCCAGCCACCGAGGGGCCCACCACACTACCTACCGCCCTGTTGTCGGCTGGCTCTGCTTTTCTCCAAACCTCAAAGCCTTGGTTCACCCCCAGGTAGCCAGGACACACGTTTTCTCTCATTTACCTTCTTCCACCCACTCCTTTGTGTTTTACTCTCCGCGTGAAGCAGGATGGGAGTAGGCTGGGGAGGTCCATCCTTTTCCTTCCTCATGAGAAACGAAGTGAGAAAGCAGCAGAGGTGAGATGGGGCGTGGGGTGAATTGGCATTCTTGATGATCAGTCTGTGATTCTTGATGAACTGAAGTCTATGAGCCGCCTGTTAGAGATTGTCATCTTCCTGTAGGATTACAAAAGTCATAGCAGTCTTGAACTGCTACACAGCAAAGTGGCTCTGATTACCCAACTATCCCTTTGGGTTGTGGTGTTCCCTTTTCCTATCTCAAAAAAAAAAAAAAGGGAGGGGGTGGTAAAAATAGCAAATAGCCTGGGAATGATCAAGCAGATTTGTGTTGCTACATTCCAGGGATTTCACTTCATGGGCACAGATTTTCAACTTTTCCCAACATGGTCAAGTATGACTACATGCACTCTCTGTGGACAAAATGAGTTGATGGGGCCTGGTGGTAAAATGCAGGTGCCCATCCAGCAAGTCAACCTTTGTTGTATTTTTATTAAAGGCCTGTGATGTCAACATTATTGCAGGATAGATTCTCGTCTGGTTAAGGTCCTTGCTTATCTGGGGCCTCTCTCAGGTGGGCGTGTCAGAACCCTCCTGTTGGCTGACGGCCTGGGAGGTGTCCGCTGTCCTGACTCCTCTGATGCCATGTTTTGTCTCTTGTCTCTGTCAGGCGGGGCAAGAAGCACAGCATCATCCTAAGGACGCAGCTGTCCGTGAGGGTCCATGCCTGCATCGGTGAGTGACGTCTGCCCTAGGAGATGAAACGTGTAATAAGAAATGGCACTTGTGGGGACACAGTGTTCACTGTTACTCTGTCTGCTTGGTCCAGCCCTTCTCATGGGCTCTTAGAGTACTTTTGGAAGCCCTGTTTTATTCTGACTTCCTCTGCTCTTTGGTTGGTTGGGGGGGCCTGAGATGAGACAGACTCTAGGTGAGGCTCTTCTTAATGGTATTGGGAAAGATGAGCTTTTTCTGGGACTGCGCCAGCACGAGCCACCAGTGTGAGCCTCCAGCCTGCTGAAGTGACCCTTCATGTGTCTGCTGGTGACCTTTGATGCTTGCTTGTGGGGAAGTTCTGTCTGAGGTTGCTGTCAAGTGTTTAGAAGGGAAATCTTGGGTCAGTGCAGGATGGGAGCACATGTGGATACCGAGCCAAATGGTGTAAGCAAGCACAGACATTTGTGATGCAGAGCAGCTTGTCACCCAGGGATGCTGATGGGCTGTCATTGCAGCCATTAGTTTTTCTAGACCCACTGTCTCTCCACCTAGAGATATGTTATTAGTGGCAGTGAAAGCAACAGTTCATGCTAAATAGACAACCTCCATGTGAATGCTTTCTGAAACTATGGCCTGGTTTGCTTCTAGTATTGAGGCAAGAATATCATATCATAAAAAGAATAATAAAAATTAGAATTCACTTTATACATAGAAACTTTTCACATCTGGATGAGTTTGGTTTTATTTAATATATGTTGGGGTCTTCACTGGGGACTCTAGGAGAATGTAAACCGTCCTGTCGAGTCCCAGTCTGCACCTGGAGTGTAGTGTTTGTGGGTGGAGTGGGAGGGATTGTTCTGGCCGCTCCTTCTCTCTGCTCCTCTGTTGGAGACCCTGGGATGGAGAGGGGAGCTGGACATGACGGGGAATCCATGTAATTTCACTTCATTTCCTATGACACATGGTGAGGTATGAGTGTCTTGAGTAATAACTTTTGTTTTGCTCTGTAGGTAGAGAGTGAGAATGATCCTGCAGGTGACTCATAAACCCCAGGGCCTGAAAGATTGGAGTGTCAGGAAGGTTTGTGAGCTTGTTGGATTAGAAGTAAGATCTGTAGGACCTTCAGCCAACACTGACCATTCACTTAACCTCATGTAGCACTGAGTGACTGTACAACATACGCAGGTACTTGATTTCATTTCATCCGTTTCTTTTCCTGCTTGATATTTTCCCCAGTTATTTCAAATGTGTAGATCCTATCTACCTGCTATGACCGTGACTTTGGATTAAACTTCCTCCATCTTCGTCACGGATCTAGAAGAAATCCAGGCATATAACATGCTGTTGAATACTGTGGAAGTTAAATACTGACACATAGCTGATAGCCATAAGAGATTTGGAACACGAGTATGAATTTGTATTTCCTAGGACTGGGAAGGCAGAAAGCAGACTTATGTGGAAAAGGTTAATCAAAATCCAAATGAGCTAACTTCTTTTAAGTCTTTGAAAGACTCAATTCAAGTTGGGGGGAGGGGTGAAGAAAGGGGGATTGGAGTGTTCCCATCTAATGGGCATAATGTAGGGGTATATGACACATGTCCTGGGTGTGAGACACAACAACAGGGACTTGACCTGGCAATGCAAACCTTGTAACCTAATTGTTTATACCCGCGTATTAATCTGAAATTTAAAAACATTTTCTCTTTTGCGGTATGTGCTGCAAGTACACGTTTTAAGTACAGGAGTTTTCTAAAACTGGTTGCACTAGCTGCTGCTTACGGTAGTCTCAGGTAACGGGTGTAAATACACGTCTCATCCTGTGGCGTGCTGAGGGCTCTTGACGCTGTGCTTTCCTGCTCCAGGGCTGCCCTGGGCGCTCTCAAGGGCGGCGTGTTGGCACCCGCACCTCTTCGTACCAGTCACACTAGTTATGGGAATTAGATAATTTAATGAAATGGACCAGAAATATTTTAGAAACTGATTAAATGTGAGTTTGAAAATTCATTGAATGTTTCGGAAAAGACTCAAAATTTGTCACCACCAAAGCATTTCTGTCGATGTAAGTGGATCATGGCAACTATGAAAGGTGGGGGAGAGTATTGTAAAAATCAGGGCGGCTCCTACTCTCCACCGTTGTCTTCAGTTCTTGCTTGATTTCCAAGAAACTGACATTGGAAATCAGATTTTGTTACTGGAGTGGTTAGTGAAAGAAGATCCAAGTGGAACTCCAGTGAGTAGGCCCTTACTTAGAGAGCCAGTGTGACTTGTCACAGGTATGTCATGTTAATCAGCACAGGTGTGAGTTACGATGAAGTTTTAAGGTATTTGTTGTTTTTAAAGGATATTCTGCTTTATTTAGGTTTTTACTATTAATTGGCTCAGGCCTGAGTATGTTGGATGAGAAGGTTTGGCTGTATAAATTACTATCAGTATCCAAGATAGAAAAGTTTCTCTGTGTATTGAAAGCCCTCTTTCTCATTCCATTTCCTACTGCTAATTTTCAGATTTTTCCCCCTCTTTATAAGAAATAGTTGAGTTATTACAGGCGTCTGACACAATGGCTGATGTCTTAGCCTAGGAACACACACAACTCCCCTGAAGACCACCTTTCTCACCCATGACTGGGCTGGAAGGCTCCAAGACCGGCTTTTGTCTAATGGATCAAAGTGCTGTCAAGTTTCTCCAAAACAGTGTTTTCCTCACCCTACGTTCTCTCTCCTTCATTCTTGTTTTTATTAAGCATAGGAATGTTTAGAATCTAGGGCTATGTGTTGACGAATTGGAGGTGACATGGTTTTGGAATCTCCAGTGTTAACTTTGGAACCCTGCACTGTTGGGATGAGAAGAGGGCAGGGCCCTAATGGTTAGAGACTGACCGAACCTCACAGAAAATGCAGGCCATGGGGACTTGGCTTTGATGGTCACAGCTAGCAGCCGAGACAGGTCTTTTCTGATAGTGCAGTGGTTCTGAAGCATTTGGCAGGAGGTCGGAATGAGATTTTGGTACAGAAAGGCCTCACACTTTTCTACCTCTGTGATTCTCTTTGCTGTAGTTTTTCTTTTTGGATTCTTTTTTTTTTTTTTGAGACAGAGCCTCAAGCTATCCCCCTGGGTAGAGTGCCATGGCATCACAGCTCACAGCAACCTCCAACTCCTGGGCTCAAGCAAGTCTCTTGCCTCAGCCTCCCAAGTAGCTGGGACCACAGGCGCCCACTACAACGCCCGGCCATTTTCTTTTTTTGGTTGCAGCCATCATTGTTGTTTGGCGGCCCGGGCTGGGGATTCGAACCCGCCACCTTAGGTGTATGTGGCTGGCGCCTTAGCTGCTTGAGCCACAGGCACCGAGCCTCTTTTTGGATTCTTAATGGGATGACTTGATGTGCCATGTTGCAGCAAACAGTGTGTGACTTGCCTTCCTAATGTAGCTTCGATCCCTCAAATTATCCGTAGTCATATTCTGGGCATCAATGCACAGATATGTGGGGAAAATCTATGACAGGCATGAGAAGGCTGCATTTTATGAGGTTAGCTAGAGAAAATAATGTTTTTGGTCCCTGCAAAGTGATCCTATTTCCAGACATCAGAAAAATGTTGAGAGGGCCAACTGGCTCTGATGACTAAATCTCATCATGAAGAGAAAAGGAACTGAGGAATCATGGGGTGAGGGATGGAATCTAAGATTTAAAAAAAATAAGGTTTGAAGTCTTTAGGATGATAAAGCTAGTATGAGTGTTTGCTACTGACTGACGGAAGGCATTTTATTTGGCTTCAAACCTCCACGTGTCAGTTTTCTGAAGCAGATCCTGTCTTCCCATTAGGAAAATCAACCCTGGTGACTGAGTCTCTGGGACCCAGAAGACCAGTGCTTTCACATGTCCAGCAATGAGTTAAATGAAAGGGTGAAAGTTGGCTAAAGATTCCAAAGTGTGATTTATACCTGTAGCTGTGAAAGACCACCCTGGCATAAAGGGTCTGCCTTCAGAGGTTTTCCCCAACCCTGAGATGACACGGCCTCCTACGAGGGTAGGGACGAGGCAGGCAGAGGCTTGTAGGGTGGCTGATTCCTGCACGAGATGTGTCTTGTTGCCTACATAGTAATGTCACAGAGACAACTTATAAAGACTAAGTGATGAGAGGGTGGCTTCTCATCTCTCCTGAGTAGCAGAGTAGTCAATTTCCAGCAGCAGAAACCTCGACAGAAGGATATGTCAATATGTAATTTGCAAAGCATTTTTCTCTCACGAGCGACATAGTCATCTGCTTTGTACTACACTGTTGTAGCAAAGAGGTGAATGTCAGAGGAACATTTCTTCAAGAAGAGCCTTCTAGTGCAGGAGCGACTGAGGGGGTTTGTCTCCTGTGCCGGCTGATTTAGGGAGGCGGCCCCCTGGGGCTATGTGCAGTCTTAACACCGGCTTGCACTGATGGTGACGGAGGTGGAGTGTGTGTGTGTGTGTGCACGTGCCTGCACGGCCCCGTGGATGACAGCTCAGGTACTCGGGGGAGGTGCAGGTTTTGTCCAGTGTCTGAGGCCCCTGGGCTTCTGTATTCAGAGTGTGAGAGGGGAATGGAGCTGTAGTCCAGGACCCCCAGCCCCTCCCCTCTGCCTTTGCTCCCAATCCACCTCTCAGGTTCTGCATTCCTTCTTAGGCCTGTGGATCCAAGTGTGGCTGCTCTGTCCTCTCCCACTTCGAGCTTTCTGACCAGGCTGGGTACATCTGTCCCCTCTCTGGGTTTCTCTCCCTGTACTATCACCTTGTGCTGGTACAAGGTGCCGCAGGGGGCTGGGCCGCAGGGGGCTCCCCTTCAGCTTCCGTTCTGGTGTTGCACTTGCCCTGCAGGTGGGTTGCAGAGGAACCCGGGGCTTGGAGCATGAGCTGGATTCCAGTGTGGGCCTTCCTGGCTCGGTGCCAGTTAGGAATTTCTATAAATACTAGAGGTTTCTTTTGGGAAACAATAAGTTGCCTTTTTGACACTCTTGGGCCTGACAGCAGCTGGGTGATATTTCTCTGTCAGCT